CACGCTGACGTCTCTCCCTCTGCTGACAAATCGCGACCTTCTCCTGGGTACTGGCAGGTAGATGATGGTGATGTCTAGTTGTGTGAGTTGACTTGAGTGGGTTCAGGGAGGCACAGCTATTTGAGTGAACATTACTCTGGGGCTGCCTGTGGAAATGTCTCCAGAAGAGAGTATTTGATTAGTGGATAACGGGTAGATGGGGCTGCCCGACTCTGGTGGGCCTTGTCCAAATGGATGAGAGCTGTGTGGAACAGAAAGCAGAAGAAAGTTGAACTTGCTCTCTGCCCGACGCCTCCTGCCTCTGACTTGCTCAGTGCTGCTGGCTTAGGTCTTTATTTTTCAGGGTTTTTAGAGACAGGGTCTGGCTCTGCTGCCCAGGCTAGAGTGCAGGGCCTCTATCACGGTTCCTATCACGGGTCTCCGTAGCCTCACACTCATGGGGTCAAGCCAACCTCCTGCCTCAGGCTCCTGAGTTGCTGAGACTGCAAATGTGCACCCCATTCCCAGCTGGTGTTTTTGTTTGTTTGTGAGACAGCTTTCCACTGTGTTGCATAGGCTGGTCTCAAACTCCTGCACTCTAGCAATCTCCCCACTTCTGAGGTTTGCAGTTTCTTGTCATCTTAAGACTCAGTGTTCTCCAGAGGAATGTAGGTGTTCATTTTTCTGCTTCCTGCTCTGCTCCTTAACCCCACCCCTGCATATAACCCTAAAGATTTCTGAAAGTGGTCAAGCTGCCTATTATCCCAGGCCCGGGATTGGTCTCCTGAGAGACCCCAGCCCTGCACCTCCACCACCACTCCGAATGCTTTTCCTAAATTTCCAGGGGAGTAAGAAAAAGACTCCTATTTTACTGAACCACAATCCTTGAAAGTGGTTATTATTCCAACTGGCTTCCCCTAAGTAACACACCTCGTTTTAAACAGGTTTGTCAAATCACCCCCCCAGGACACTGCAATTTTACTAATCCCCGAAAGTGTGGGTTCTGGGCAGTGTCCTCAGCCCTCATCCTCTCCATGAATGGAAAGTGTCCCCTATTCTACAGTAATGTGTTGTTTTCTCAAATTATTAATCTAGCATGTGGCATAACGTTTAAACACAAAACTTCAGGAACCAAAACACCATTTCTATACTAAAAGTAGGGCACATTTTGGGGAAGAAAGGGATCAAGCTGTGGGGAACACTTAGAACAGGATGAGAATGACAGGGAGCTGCTTGCCGGTGAGTGAGGGGAAGGGAAGTATGGACAGGCCGGGCGCCGGGCTCTGGAGCTGGATGGGAGGGAAGCAGGAGACGTCTCATAGCTATTGTTACTCGCCAAGATTAATTTATTTTACACGAACTGTTGGATGGGTATGAATAATATTAATAATTAAATTTGGGGCTCAATCATGACATAAACAGTGTTTAGAGCTGAGAAATGAATGCAAATTTATGGTAATAACTATATAATATTAGGTGACCTGGGGGGTTATAAAAAACTTATAAACCCATCTGGTAAGCCAGGCCTTTGACTTTTTGATCTGAAAACCAATAGGCAGAGAAGGACTTAATCAGTGTCCCTGATTTTAAGAAGTGATACATGTTTGTGGCAATAAGCAACCAGGTAGACACCAGGGGCAAATTATATTTTGAAAGAAATCCCAGATTCAGAGAAATTAGCGCTGAAGTCTGCCCTTCACAGCAGCGCCGTTATATTGAGAGTGAACCCAGATGAGGACAGGAAATTTTCCACCAGACACTGGAAAAATGGGAAGAAAGACACAGGACTCATTTTAATAGAGGTGACTTCAAATTAAGAAGCGTTTCTTTACTCTAAGACTGTCTCTTTCTGCCCTTTTAGTGATAAAGTAGATAGTCACATTTTATGACATTCAGTTATTTAATATTTAATATACTTGTCAACATAAAAACCTGAAAACTCTGCAATTGTGGAGTAATTGTGGAAATTCTGTTGTTCTATTTGAAAACACGTTTGTTCGTTCAATGTTCTTCTTGTATGGACAAGCACAAAATCTGGGGAAGGTTTGCCCGGGCATTTCATTCTTCTAGGAAGGATGAGCGTTTCATGAGGGTTTCTTTTTATTTTTTGTTTTTTTTTTACAGTTTTGGCCAGGGCTGGGCTCGAACCTGCCACCGGCCCCACCAGTGTATGGGGCCAGTGCCCTACTCCTGGACCCACAGGTGCCACCCTTGATGAGGGTTATTTTAAGGCAGCAGCCAAGGAGAGAATTTTCTGGATGTGTTGTTTATATCAGCTGCTCTGGACTCTGGACTCGGGTCTCCATGCTGGGTTCCTGAGACCCAGAGTGTTTCTGGATGATAAAACTGAATTGGGGCAAGTAAAATTCTTTTTCTCACTGGCAAAGGGCTCTGAGTTAAAGTGTTGTGTACGAAAAGACATTTCACACCTTCGAAATAGCAAAACAAAGCAATTAAAGCTCAAGTTTATGTTTTAAACACAGACACACATGTAACAATCTGCATCATAAGAAAGGACTTGGGGGGGTTTATGTTTAGTTTTTTACCTGCCTGGGATGGAATAAGCTGTTTTCTTCTTCTCTCAATAAATCATTTGTATGTGCCAAATATTGTCTTTTAAAAAATTGCTCTGAAGACTTTGTCCTCTTTCGTAATTAGGGTCATCTGCCTTGGTGTTGTTTCTCAGAGATTTGATATGTCTGGGGGCCACTGTACCCAAGGTCTCCGTGATAACTTTCATAAAGGAGATCTTGGGGTGTTACGTGGTCAATCCAAGATATGACCATGGCCGAGTGTTCTTCTGTTATTAAAGGAAAGTGTGACCGAGGGTGTAAAGCTAAGTGACTTTTAAAATTCAGGCCACGTGCCTCCGAGAAGCTCTGAATTCACCCATCAACAGCAAGTCTGATGTTTAAAGAGAAAGAAACTGCCGCAGTCAGGTGTTTAGAGGAAAGCAATTGTGATTCTTTACCGTTTTGGAATGTTGGCTCGGCATTTTTATGCAGTTAGCAAGACCAGACCACAGATGACACACTTCAGGTCTCCCCGTGGAGGAGAGAATATTCCACATTCTCTCAAAAATATTCCATGACATTTTAAAGGAAGCTCAAGGGAGCAGGCAGAAGCCAGTGATCTTACAACAAAATGGATAATTTCCTCATTTAAAGGCCTCTGTTCCGTGTTTCTAATTTTCGGAACTATAGAAAACTTTGTGCTATTCTTCCAATAGCAGAAAGAATTTAAGTATTAGTACAGAATGCTTCCATGACCCTGTCCTGTTTTTAGCTTTTATCGGAAGAGTTCAAGTTTCACAGTCAACACGCCTCCATGTGGGGTTTCTATCTCTGGATCATTTAATGCAAGAAAAATGTAAGAATCTTTTCCCCACTCACCTCTAAAACTCACTAAACTCATTCCAGAAGGCGGTACCAAAGGTAATAAAGCTTGTTTGAAGCACTTTTACTGAAGGGACACTTACACACATTTATAGGGTGGTCACAGGGAACAGAAAAGGAGAATGCTGTCTTCGTGGATAAGCAGGATCAAGGCTGCTAATCCTCTGTGGATGTCACTGCGGAGCCCTCACTGGGGAGCAGGGTTGAGCATTCAGAACATCAAACACTCCCGGGGGATGGGCTGGAAACATGCAGCATGTCCAAAGACCCAGGAGAAAACCAGCCGCCCCACCGGGACCTGGACACTCCGGACACTCCCAATGTAGCTGTGACGTCATTGGCAGGAATCCTAAGTGCCAAGTCTCTTTTTCAGTGAGAAGGTCAGAACTTATGTACAAAAAATGAAGTGGGAACTTAGCAGAATAGCCACTGGGGATGGTTGCCAAGTAATACAGGGTCAAGCTGGACACTCCTTGGCACTCGGGACCTGGTCCAGCTGGACACTCTTGGCACTCGGGACCTTCCATGTCTGTGTTTAGCACTTTAACTTCAGGCTGTTGCTGCCACCAGGTCCTGGTCACCGACCCCGACAGTCAAGAGCCGAGCATGTGACAGCACCATCCTGTGCCAATAAAGCAACCTGAAGCCATATGCTAAGAATGGAGGGAGATGGCGTTGAGGGCATCTGTGACATCACGGAGGCCCTGTGACATCATGCAGCTTCTGCACAAGCCTTGGATTGCCTACCTCTGGACTTATCACGGGGAAAATGAAACAATTTGTTTAAGCCACAAAAACAAAAACAAAACCAAAAAAAGGCAAATCAGTGAAGACCAAAAGAAATAAAAATGTTCTTAGGATTTTTTAAAAACTTCATTAAAGTGTAATTTTTGTGCTATTAAATTATCTGAAAAAAATTTAAAAAGCCTTATTAAGGCATAAGTTACATTCCATTACATCAACCCCAATGTACAGTTCAAGGAGACTCAGTAAATCTACACAATTATGAAAACACTGCCACAAGGGTCCCTGTGTCAAAAAGGATAAAAGTGCATAGAAATTTCCCATAGAAGGGACTCCATAGCTGCATACAGAAGCAATGAGTGGTGCACACGCATGTGACGCCGGGCTCCGTGCTGGGCTCTTACTTAGCGTGTTGTTCTGGGAGCTCTTTGTGTAGCTGCATGCCACCCCGTCCCTTTCTACTGCTGACCAGGTGGCTGACTGTGGGGGAGCACATTGCACTGGCCGGTCACCAGCTGACACCTGTATTACTTCCATTTTGGGGCTCTCAGGAAAAATGCTTTGAACGTGCACTAGTCTTCGTGTGGACGTAACATTCACATTGCTCTTGTGTGTGGAATTGCTGATGAGCGTGTGTTTAACTTACTTAGAAACTGCCAAACTGGTTTCCAAACCGGCCGCATGGGTTTTCATCCCCGCCAGCCATAGAAGATGCCGCTTCCTCTGCGTCATCCTGGCTCCCGGAAGCACGAGTTAGATCCTCTGTTTTAACTCCAGTGATTTCCAAATACAAGTGTTACAAATGTGCATTTTGTGATTATTTCAGCTACTTGGGGTAACAAGAATGGTGGGAGGGTTTTTGGCTAAAAACCAGATTTTGGAGGGATGTGCTCAGAGCAGGGGCCTGAAACATGGTTCTTCAGTTTTTAACACACCCAACAGGAATCCGGCGTCACTGTGAGGAGGGACACAAAACTTGTGGCCTTTCTACAAACAAATTTCGTACATGTGAAGAAGAAGAAAAAGATTATGAAATGTATGTGGTGGGAGTACAGCTGATCGCTGTATAATTCTTTCAACTATACTGTATGTTTGAAAACTTGACTAATAAGATATTGGAAAATTAAAAAACCAAATTTTAAGTAATTGTAAGTAGATTTGGTAGTAGGAAGAGACTATGATCTCTAAATTTACTTTCTCATTTTCACTGTTACTACAACAAACCTTTTGAAACAAGAAATAAAGATGAAAACAAAAACCGTCCATAATCAGCTCTCCCTGAATAATCTCACAAAAACCGTCCATAATCAGGCCTCCTTGAATACATCTCACAGGCTTCTCCACTGTTCATGCTGTGCTCTGGCCTATGTGCATGCTGATTTCCACTTACACCTGAAGTCTAAATCAATTCTAATTTTTTTTTTTTCAGTTTTTGGCTGGGGCTGGGTTTGAATCCGCCACTTCGGGCATATGGGGCTGGTGTCCTACTCCTTTGAGCCGCAGGCGCTGCCCTCAAATCTAAATTTTTACAGCACCTCTGAGCTACTATACCTTGCTACACAGTCTTTATAGTCTGTATTTTTAATGGATGCATAGTATTTCTTTCTTTAAATTTACCTTCAATTATGTGACATTTTTGTATCTGATAATATTTATTTCATTTATCTTTGCTCTTTAGCAAGATTTTGATATATTTATATGTGTTGGAATCTATTAATCTATTTATCTTGGTTTTTGTTTTCTTCTTTCATATTTGGTTTCTAGAGCTTGTTTCCATGGATAGTGTCAACAGATAGAATTATATAAATGCCCCATGAACACTGATGTGTGTTTCTAAACGACACTGGAAATGACGCACACATGGAAACAATGTTAGTTTAGCTTCATCCTCTAGTTTCAGGAATAGTGTAACCGGCTTTGCTAATTCAGTGGGTTTACAAGAGGACTCCAGTGTATTAACTTGCAATCATTTTTCTGTCACATTCTGTTCCGTACAACAAACTCCTAACTCTCCATAGTTGATATTTAATGTAAATGTGTGACTAATTGTAATTTTAGAGACAACCTTGTTAAATATTCCTTGAACATCATTAATGTCTCAAAACATAAAATACATTTGGTTTATTTACATTTTTGAAAAATTTTCAATATGCATTTGAATAAAATTGGTACAAAGTTCTAAGATTTGTATCACATATATGTGTGCATGTGTATATGTACATAAATGTTTTGTTAATTAAGATTTTCCACTAGAACCTGTGGTTCAGATTCAATAGTGAGAGAAAGAATCCATTTTCCTACCTGTAACTCAAAACAAACACGTAAGAAGCTACAGGATGTGATTCTGAATCTAACATCCTGACAGCTATCACAACATGTGCTTGATTTTTCCATAAGCTGTTAAATTGCTCTCTAAGTAGTGAAAGCCACATGTTAACCCACTGAAATGTTCACAAAGGCATGCACTATTAAAATACTTCCACTTTTCTTATCTCAAAACATCTGTTTGGTCTTTAAACCGCGCGCACTTGCACACGCACGAATCTTTTCTCCAGAACAATGAGAAAAGTAAAAAGTGATCTTGGCGTATTCCAAAGGACAGGAATTCTGTGCATTGGAAAGACATCTGCATTCCCTTATTATTGCCACACCATTCACAATAGCCAAGATTTGGAATCAATCTAAGTGTCCCTCAACAGATGAATGGATAAGAAAATCGTGGTACAAACTTGTTCATTCAGTGAAATATTATATGGCCACAAAATGAATAAAATCCTGCCTTTTGCAACAACATGGATGGGACTGGAGAACATTATGTTAAGTGACCTAAGCCAAGCACAGAAAAATAAATCTCACTTATATGTGGGAGCTAAATATTAAAAACAATTGATCTGGGAAAGGGGAGAGGGAGGGAAGTGGAGGGAGGAGGGTAATTGGTGGGACCGCACCTAGGGTGCATCTCACAAGGGTACATGTGGAATTTACCAAGTATAGAACATAAATGTTTTAACACAATAACTAAGAAAATACCATGAAGGCCGTGTTAACTAGTTTGATGAAATATTTCAAATTGTATACAAAACCAGCACATTGTGCCCCATGATTGCATTAATGTACACAGCTATGATTTAATTTAAAAAATGAAAAAAAAAACCCCACAAACAATTGATCGCCTGGAGACAGAGAGAATGATGGTTACCAGAGGCTGGGAAGCGTAGTGGGGAGGGGGAGGATAAAACCTGAACGGTTAACGGGTACGAAAATATAGTTAGTCAGATAGAATGAACAATATTCGACAGCATGACAAAGTAACTATAGTCAACAGCAAGTGAAGGTATAGTTTAAATTAACTAAAAGAGTGGAATTGGGATGTTCTTAACCGAAAGTAATGAATACTTCCTAAGGAGTTGAATACCCCGATTACCCTGATTTGATTAATTCACATTGTATAACTGCATCAAAAAAATCACATATAAAGTTGTATTATACAACTACTATGCACCCATAATGAATACTTATCATGTACCTGTATTAATTAAATTAATGCTAATTAAATATAAACAAAACTTCAAAAAATAAAAACATTGTCCTTTACTTAGATGAAACTTTAACGCACAAAAGTTTCCAGGGAAGCCAAGAAACATCTCAGAATGTATCTAACGGAAAACCTTAGAAACACAGCCGGGCTCTGGGCCATCAGAGGTCTTTGGGGCTCTGTAATTTTCAGGACTAACGGGCTCCTGCAATGGCAGGAGGGAGCCACGGAGTTAACAGAATAGGGATACGGATGGGAACGCGACGTTAGTTTTATTCACCAGCTAAGAAGTATTCCATGAACCATGATGAGCAGCACCTGGGAAATGCTGCTTCATCATCTCTCCACCTTGTCTGCCTCCAAAGACGTTTAGGCATATTCCCCTCAGTTCTGTGATGTACCCAGTCAGTGCAAAGAAAGAAAAACGCAACATTTTCTACCTATTCGTTCATAATTAGACATTTTTGATGAAATATATAAAAATATGAATAATGTCAGTTAGGTCTGTGTTTGCTCATAAAAAAAATGTTTGATTAAACACAGTATTTGTCTAGAACAGTAAAAAGCAAGCCCTGGCCTAGCCAATTTGAAGAGTCTCTCTGATTCTGAAGACAGTGTTACTGGTATCAGGAGTATTTACAGATCCCTTCTGCCGTGAACCGCAGGCTTCCGTCACCCACTGCTGAGTGTCCACATAGCTCAGTCTAATCTAACTGAGATTTCCTTAACTGACAGTAGGAAAAATTTTACAAACACTCCAACTGAATTTTCCCAATTTACCTGAATGATATTATATGCCTCGTCCAACACTCTAACTCATAATTTCTAGGTTATGGTCCCAATTTTCCCCTTTACTCACACTGTTCCTTGGCATAAATGCTCTTTGGAAAATTTGAAGTCTGCAACCAAAGCAAGCAAACGAACACACAAACGTACCTGATGGACCTAAGTCTTTTCCTGTTCCCTTTTACCATGTGTGTAGTTATTCCACACAGCAGGTCAAATTAAGTTGACATATTTAAATCACCTTCAGCATGAGTTAAAGTATATAGAGGAGATGAAAATCTCCTTTTCTTTTCTTATTTCCTAACTTTCTAATTTTTCAAAGGTACAACAAGGTTAGACGTGGAGGCTACTGACTTTACCCACCTTGTGTTCCAAGGTGCCATTTTCTAGTTTATTTCCCTGTTGTTTAACCAAATCCTTGTGAACATGCGAGCTGTTTCTGATTATATCCTCTAGCACAGGGGCTTCATTTTCTTATTTCACAAAAGCCTTTTACATATAAAACTTCTCGTGATTTCTATCACTGAGTTGGGTTCTGCTACTTTTTTCTGCATAGGCTTTAATTTTAATCGTATTCAGCAATAGTCCACCAGCAACAGGGTAGAAACAGACACAGCTCAGATACAAGAGAAGAAAGAGACAATATTAATAAAAGTTTGTGAATGCTGTGAGTGAGTTATGGTGATGCCACGGTATATACCCAGGGCTCAGAGTCACTCTGTCTCCAAAAAAGAAAAACAGTGTGATCTTTAAACTACTCTAAAATCTGAATTATTTCCAAAGTTTTCACCAAATGTCCACTCACTAGCATTGTTTTTAAAATGGCACAGGCTTTGCAAATAAATCCAGGTGTTGGTGTCCTCAACCTGCAGTTTGGGAAACTGATTTAAAGAAGGGTCTCATCCAAGGTCTCAGAGAGAGGAGAAAGTAGACCAGTGATGTGTTATTTTAGAATTTAAACTGCAATGTATTTCAAACATGAAGTTAGGCACACAGTATAAGAAAATCAACATGTAGGTACTTACACAGCACTGTCAAAGTCAACATTTCTTTCTTCTTGCTTCAGATTATATTTAAAATAAATTAATAAATTAAGTTCATATAGAAATGGTGGACTCATAGAAAAGTGATAGCAATAGATGATATAAAAATAGAAAGAGAGAGAGATGACAGACAGACACAGAAGGGGATAGATGTAGGTAAATTGGTTATTACTGTGTACCAGGCCATAATGTCAACATCTTACATTACTTTTCACATTCTGTTCTTCTGCAACTTTATGTGGTAGGCAATATTATCCTTTCTGTCTTAAACGACAGTATTCAATAAGGTACCTAATTTTCTGTTGCTCAAAAGTCTCCTATGTAGCAACCCTCAATTGTATACTTTTTTCTACACCCTAGGAATCAATACTAACTCTAATTGACATTATTTTATTTCGTGCATTTCAAATAATTTTCTACACTGCATCCTTATACAACATAGAATATTGATTTGCATGGTATGAATCATTTTGGTAAATGGATTCATACTGTTCAGATTCTTTTACAACTCAGTTTTCTTTAATTGAAATATATGTTTTGGGAATTTATCCATAGGAATAACACATAGCTCCAGTTTGTTTGACCAGGTTTTAAATAGATCGGCTGATGTTAGAGGTCTGGACTTCTAGACTATAGCAGACTATAC